TTATTTAATAAAACATTAAATATCAAAAGCAAACATAAATGTTCAGGAAGCGTCTTTAACGAGGGTGACAATACTGATCAGATTGAAGAATAGATTTTTTTTGTTTCTTTTGCGATATGCTTAAGCTTAAAGCTGATAATCCATTCAAAATTACTAAGTTGATCAACGATAATGCCTAAAAGATTGATTTTTTGGGAGATTACTATATTTCTGTTGTATTTAATGTTATTGACTTTTTGTCGAATTATAAGGATCTAGATGTTTTCAAAGATCAAAGTGTAGCCTATCTTACTTAAGGAGAGTGACATTAGTGCAACAATGGGATTCCTCAAACTCCTACGTCGTAGGAGTTGGACAGGAAGGACTTTCCTGTCCCGAAACTTCTATAACGGAAAATTTAGGCTACTTTGTTGGATTGGTCCTTGTACACTCTTTTATTATACTAATTTCGAATTGAATTAGGGTTTATTTTTGCTTGAGACTATTATTATTATTATTATTATGGCAATCAAATTCCAATTAAATTCCTGACCATTATTACTTATTATTTCATGCTATTAGCTTCAATTCCCTCGTTATGTATTTTCTTCTTCGCCTTATTCTATTTTATACTTTTTCGATTTATTTTATTTTGTTTTATTTCTTTCCTTTGTTGCGTCTATTGTATTTGGGTTTAAATATCCCCTCGTCTATCACTAAAATTGAATTGAGCTCTTCAATTCCAATTCTCAACATGGGTTCAGAGCATAAACCTAGATCTTGCAGCCGCCGACCTCTTTTGCTAGTTCTAGCAGCCACCGACCTCCACTTTTTCCACTAGTCGGCAGTTCCTTCTTCTACAAGCGCTGCCATCTGCCTTTTCTACTGGCGCATGTTTCCAGCAGCAGCATCACGCCTAGTATAAGAAGCAACAATCGCAGATCTCGTCACTCTAGTTCTAGCCGCTAGTTGCTCTTTCTCGTATGTTTCCAGTCGCAGGTTTCATTGGTTCTATAGTCGCCTGTTCCAGCAACAACATCTGCCGTAAACTGGAATTCATCTGTCGAATTCCTGCAGTTTATTCCCGCATGTTTCGTCTGAATCTTGACAACCTTTTATAGTTTCTTGATTTTATTTCTGCAGGTTCCTGTCTATTTCCTAACAACCTTTTGTAGTTTCGTGCAAGTATGCAAATTCCCACAATTGTATCTTTCTGTTGTGACGTTACTGGAATTCATCTATGTTTCAGAACCATAACATCTCCTTTGGCTCTATCGGACCTCCAAAACTGAATCACCTTTAGAAGCTGTTTTTGATTTTACCAGAGGATTGAATTCAACCTCCGCTCCCTTGCAGACCGGAGGACTGGAAATCAACATGAGTTTTTTTATCACTACCCATAAATTGAACGACAGTAACTTTCTCTAACAGTCCCAAGCAGTGTGTTTGTTTATCAAAGAACGTAGGAAGTTCAATTACCTCACATGATTGATTTCCGAGCCTTCAAAGACTGACCTGTTTATAGAGCCTGGGAAGTGGAGAACTCTATGGTCATGTCGTGGCTGATCAACTCCATGGAGACTTCGATTGGTCGTTCATATATGTTCATTCATTCTTCTAGTGCTCTCTGGACGACTGTCCGTGATACCTATTCGGATGTGAGAAATTTCTGCTAATTCTATGTGATATCTAAGAAAATTCGGGAAGCAAAAGGGGTCAATGACGTGACTCAGTACTATAATGATCTTGTTGCATTATGAATGAAATGCAACCTATACTACGACTATACTTGAGATTCTCCTACGGACTTATCCCTCTTCTAGAAGCTCGTAGAAAAGGATCGTATGTTCCAATTCTATGTTGGCCTTAACAAAGAACTTGATGAGGTGCGGTGCTGTATTTTTGATCGGGATCATCTTTCTACTGCTCGTGCTGTTTTTACCGAGATTCGTCGGGAAGAAAACAAGAAATTTGTCATGCTCGGTACTTCTACACCTTCAACTGAGTCATCCACTTTGATCTCAAATAGTGCTAAGCCCTCATTGATGCCACCGCGAACTGGTAACTTCACTTGTGATTATTGTCACAAGTCCAACCACACTCGGGATAAATGTTGGAAACTTCACGGTAAACTGACATACAAACCTTTGGCCAAATCCTCTACTGCCGAGGGACTCACAACGACGATCAAATAAGGCACGACTCAACCATTTCATACTCTAAACATCCCCGAGTCCTCCAAATCACTAAAAAATTAGATGTAGCAATTTATAAAGCTTCTTGAAGCCAATCAAGCAGCTCAAGGTCTGTCAACCTCCCACGTTCGACAAGGTACTCTTCTTATAGCTCTCACCATTTATTCCTCTAGTCATTGCATTATTGATTCAGGAGCCACGTATTATATGACTAGATGTTCGCGAGCTTTCTCGACTTACTATCCTTGCTTTGGAAAAGATGCATATATAATTGTCGATGGTTATTGTAGTTCCATTGCTGATAAAGGATTGATTGCATTAATAACCGATCTAACTCTGGAGTCTGTCTTACATGTTTCATAGTTACAACGCAACTTGTTATCTGACAGCAATTTGACGAATGATATTCATTGTGCTGCTAACTTTTCGTCTAATGGTTGTGCTTTTCAGGATCGTTGTTCGAGGAGGATAATTGAAGTTGCTAAGAGGGTAGTTGAACTCTACTACTTCCAAGAGAAGAGCAAGGAAAGTATTGATTCTTCTCTCAAAAGTTGTAGCTTATCTCGAGTCATTAAATATC